GCCGATCGCGGCCCCCACTGGCCGCGGTTTGCCGTCCCAGGCCAATGGGGGCGACGGGAAGCCGCGGCCAGCACATCCCTCGGCCTGCACCGCTTCCTGCCGCCCCCATTGGACCAGGATGGCGAACTGCGGTGAATGGGGGCCGCGATCGGCCGAACCTGCCGCGTCAGCAGGTAAATAAAACTGGCCCGGCCCGCTAGGGTGCTTACCCTGGCGAGCCGCGTGCCGAACGTTGCCGACCCCTGGAATAGAACTTTTAAACATGGAATGTGAACACCACAGGCCTTTGTACACAAATTAAATCAGTCCCTCCTAGCATCTTTTAATGCACTCTCGTATGCACGCAGCACCTCACCCTAAAACTCCATAGCTCTGGATCATATTTTCACATAGAACCATTCTTGAAATTTGTTTCCAGTGTGAGACACAAGCCAGCTATTATTTAGGATTAGCTATGCATATCTTATCTAGAAATCTACTTTTCTTCAATAAACACAGTAATTCCAGACAAGCCATCTTCAATTCACGTTCCAAGTTCTCCGTGACCTACTTACAGTGGAATACCAGTGAGAAATAAAAAGCAGAATCTTGTTACTTAGTCAGAAATATATTGTACGTTATGAGTTATGACAAATGCAGTTCTCTTTTATGGCTAAAAAAAAAATCCTAAATGTAATGGGCCAGGGCTGATGTGACTTCAGTGGAGCTATGCTGATTTATACCAGGTGAGACTCTGGCCCTATTTCTTGATCAGAGACACTCCAACATTTGCAGTGTGGATCACATCTTAAGAGGATTATCTCACAGCCGTCTACCCTCCCATTTACAATTACGCAGACTGTCCGCCTTCTCACTCACAATCACATACTAGTCCTGCAGTAACTGCACCAATTACTCCATGGAAAATTAATATTAGGACAATGTCTAATTTATGTTTAGCTATTTTTAAATATAATTTAGCTGGTGGTAACAAGGAGCAGAATTAGACCCATGTGACCAGCACCTCATCACTGACCACCAGCAAGTGCTCTACAGACCAGGTTGGGAACCACCAATCTAAATAATACAAATCAGCTTTCTAGGAGTGACATGATTTGTGGCCAGAAAACATAATGCTATACAATGTCTGAAAGACACTACTGTGTTCCACCTCTCAAGCATTCTGCATTCTAAGGGACATAATAGCACTTGGGTAGGTTTGCCCCCTGTCTGTCCCACATATGCTGCTCCACAGGCATCACTCTGAGAATATACAAAGCCCATTTGACTTCAAAATTGGGTGGCTGTGCCACTGTATAATGAGAACTAGCCCCGTCTAGACCCTTCTTTTGCCGGCGTTGAGTGCTTCAGTGTATCTTTTCCAGTTTCGCAGCATCGCACAGAGCTGGACTGATATTTTGGCTAGGCTAGGGGGACTGATGGAATCTCTTTTCCACCTCCTCTGCAGGCACTCCTCCTTATTTCTGTTGCACATGGCGCTTCTCCTTCTGGAACAACCCAAAGTGTTATTGCTGGGGCCTCCTTGAACAGGCAAGAAGTCAATGGATAAAGAGAGGATTATTTGGTGAATAATAATCAGGGCAGACCCAGATCCACCAGTTTTGGACTCTTCTTCCTATCCTCCAGACTGCTTAAGCCCTGACCAATTTCTTTCCCCCATCTTTCTCTTCCTCCAGAGTCACATATTTATTCACCCTCTTCTGAACCCCTTTAATTACCTCATCAGTCCCACAATAAAACATTTACTTTTTGTTGCCCCTGCAGCTGCATAAAGCGGATGTGGTATCTTGTGGAAGAGAAATGGGTTCAAGAGGGAGAAGATGGAGTGAGGTAGCTCTGAAGAGGAGCCCTGAGGGAAGCATGGAAGGGAAAGACAGAGGGGCAAAATGGGGACTGGAAAAGAGAAATTGGGCTGAGGAGGCAGTGGGCAGCAGCGTCGCCTATACACAAGCTATGACTGACACCCTCCCCCCAATCATTCACTAACCAGCACCTTGTGCACAACTCTCCCTTCCTCAGGTCACCAGGTTATCTGAAGATCTTGACATGTTTTATAAACATTAATTGAGCTCCACAACACCACTGTGAGGTGGGTATCAACTCCATTTTATAGAGGAAAGGGAAGGAGAAAGATCCTAGAATAGTTCAGTTCTATTCCATATAGGTCCTTCTATTGCCCTCAACTCCGTAGCATCTGACCTTCTTCCAGTATCACGTTAAGCAATGTGACAAATGTCTGCCACGTGGTTTGTTTTCTCCCTCATCCTCTCCTTCCCCCCGGGAGTGGGAGGGAGGGCTAGGGGGAATTGTGTGTGCAGTTTAGGTTTTGTTCTTTTTCGGTTTCTGTTTTGAATATACACACTGCTCTGTGTTTCTGTTACAGAATGCACATCGAAGAAAGGTGCCTTCCACTTGGAACAGAAGGTTTTGGTGAAATTTCTGGGAGTTTGTTCTGGACTCACCCCAGAGAAAGCTCCTTCTCCCTGTCAGACAAGCTTTATCCTTGTTGTAGAGAGTTCCATTGTGCCTGAGGTCAGCCATGTATTGTGTGAGAGAGTAAAGTTTTCACCTCTCTATTCACTTTTTCCACATCACTCATGATTTGATAGACCTATAATATCCCCCCTTAGTCGACTCATTTCTAATAAGAACAGCCCTAATCTTTTTGTCTATCCTCATATGGACGCTGTTCTGTATTCTTGATCATCTTTGTTGCCCTTCTCTGAACCATTTCCAGTTCCACTATATTTTTTCTGAGATGGGGCGACCAGAACTGCACGCAATATTCAAGGTGTGGGCACACCATGGATTTCTAAAGTGGCATCATGATATTTTCTGTCTTATTTTTACCCCTTTCCTAATAGAGCCTAACATACTGTTAGCCTTTTTGACTGCTTACAATGCTTTGACAAACTTACAGTGCAAGATCTTGATCCTGCAAATGGATATTCCCATGGATGTACCCACATGCCACTCCACTGACTTCTGTGGGGCTCTATGCAGGTGCAGGAGCCAATCTGCATAAATCCTGTTGAATAGTCAGGGCCTAAAATATTACTACTGTAATCCTACTTAATTGGGACATGCTATATTGGGGCAGCAGTTTTATTGGGTAATATCTATGAAAATTGATTTTGCATAATCTAGTGAGCAGTATTGGCAGAACTTCCACTTAGTGAAGAGGAATTTAACTAAAGCCATCTAGTGTTTAGTCAGATGTTAAATAGATGTGGGGTTTTAGTTCATAAATTTCAGCTCAATTAATTTACAAATCAAACAGTTGAAAATTAACAAACAAATATTTTCAAATTTGACTTGCTTTGTAAATCTCATTGTGACTTTTACATCAAACCACAAGACTGTATGGATTAGACTAGAGGATGGTGTTTATAACGTTCCATATGAAGGCACAGTTTTATTATGGTGCATTTTATATGTAATGTACTAACTATTAACCATTTTAGAATTATATAGAAACTGCTGGCCTGATTCTCTTTGCACTCATGCTGGTGTAAATCAGGAGTAACCACAATGCAATAAATAGAGTTACAACAGTACAAAATTAGTGAGAGAGAAGAATGAAGTCCCACAAGTTAAGGCACTAATAAGCTCAGTACAAATGGTCCTTAATTTTTAAAAATGAGCACACTGATGTTTTGAACCCATAACCTTGGATATTGTAGCATGACAGCTTTTACTATTAGGCTATAGCTCTTCGATTTTCCTATAGTGTCAGATGACTTCAGAAAAATTCAAGACAAAGTAAACATGCTCACAAATATTATCTAGATCAGGGATTAGCAACCTTTGGCACGTGGCCTGCCACGGCAAGCACCCTGGCGGGCTGGGCTGGTTTGTTTACCTGCCGCGTCCGCAGGTTCTGCCAATCGCAGCTCCCACTGGCCGCGGTTCGCCGCTCCAGGCCAATGGGGGCTGCAGGAAGCGGCACGGGCCAAGGGATGTGCTGGCCGCCGCTTCCCGCAACCCCCATTGGCCTGGAGCGGCAAACCATGGCCAGTGGGGGGGCTGCAATCGGCCGAACTTGTGGATGCAGCAGGTAATCAAACCGGCGCAGTCTGCCAGGGTGCTTACGCTGGTGGGCCGCGTGCCAAAGGTTGCTGATCCCTGAGCTAGATCCTTAGTATATATGTAACCACTGGAGACTTGATTTACAACTGAGTTACTCCAGTTTTCCACTGTGTAACTCCATTGAAATCAGTGGAGTTAGATGGTGCAAAACGGGAGTAACACAGTGGTAAATCAGCCCCAAGGCTTAACAAAAATCACACCATTACAAGCAAACACACTAGAAACTCTTTCTTTTCCATTCACAGCGCAGTTCAAACAGCATCAATACATCACATCAGAAAAGTAGTATGTTTCCAATTCTTTTGGCTTAACTTACGTG